GATCAGTTTTCTAATAAGCTTTGTAAAAGTGTGTTACCAAAATAGGAGCAGATTTGGAAATGCAAACTAACATGCACTTAGATATCCAAGTGGGGAGACTTACTTGCACTCTTTCCCTGGAGTCATTTCAGATCTGTCCAAGGTGACTCCTATACCAGCATAGAGAACAGAATCTGTACTCAAGAACAAGCCCGGAGACTGACACCATCCACGAATGCTTCTGGCTTTGGATTTATTGGGACTCCACCTGACACTGTGATGAACTCTAATTGATAAATCCAGTATCTGAGCAGACTGGGGACTGAACTGAGGACTAGCTTAAGGAAATCGAGTAGGTGTGTAGTAGTAAGGTATCCACTTCTTAACAATATCAGAATCCAAGCACAGGTGTCATCCAGAAAAGCCTCACAGAAAGGCACAACGACATTATGAACTTGACGTGTTTAAGTTGGTGAGGCATTAGCGGAAAAAAAAAAGCAGTCTAGCTTAGCTTCACTCTTCTTCCACACCAAGGCTGGCTAAGCCCACAGGACAGGAAAGGCCAGGAGGAGGCCCAGCAGAGTGGCTGTCAGTCTTTCACTGGGAGCCCTCCTCCTCAAAAATGTATTGCATTTAGCCAAGGGCTCCCTTCCTTTCTCCTCTTACCATTGCTCAAGCGCAGATTTGGGACACCTCTTTCTTCCTTAATTCCCCTTGTCCACCATTCACTCAGGCACTCAGACTTGCTCTTTGACTCTGTTTGGATACAAGCAGATACAATAAACCAATCTGATTTTCTTCATACCTGCTGGAAGATTTTTGGTGCTTCCCCTCAAAAACTCAACAGGACACCCCTTCTCAGATTCCATCCTGGCTGAATTCTGTCCAGAAGCTTAGTCATTGCAGAAATTCCTCTAAGGGATAGCAGTATGTCTGGGCAGACCTCACAGCCGAGGCCAGTGCTGGACTGAGTTGGGGCTAAACTGAAGCCATCTCCAATGAGAATATGAGAGCTGGTGCCCTACCACAGATCCACTCTCCTCCTTCCCTCCTGGTAAGCCTTAAGAGTTTGAAATCTTGCCCTTTATCTTTTAGGCCAATGTCTGGGACAAGGGTAACTGGCAAATCAGTTTATGAGTTCTACCTTGAGAGAGTGACAGATAAATGAGCAAGGGGACGAGTTAATAGATCCTCAGTATTTTTGCTTTCTCCTTAGGTGAGCAAAACATTGGACCAACAGCCACTGAGATGCCAACCCATGAAAAAAGTCCTAGAACACAGCATTTCCCCCTAGGCAAGCAAGGTGAAGAAATATGGTGGTGAGAGATTAGAAAGATCATGTTCTGGAGATTTGAAAATCACATTCCTGCCTTATCAAGAAAAGTGGCAGATAAACTTCGTGTCAGCCTTGGCGCACTTGTGGTGCCTAAGCTTTGATAAAAACCATGTTCCAGTCAAGATGTGAGAGAGGGAAAGACCTGCACTTTGTGTCACTATCAAAACTGAGCCAAATAATGAGACATTTAAAGTACTTAATGATTACTCTAAATTTTTCTTTGTAATACTTATAGAATATATTTTTATTGAGGGATAGGCTGAGAAACCATCATTAGATATTGACAATTGATGTCAATTCCAAGGGCTAAGAAGCCTATGTAGGTTCTAAAATGGCTGTCATGGTCCCTTAGACACCTTGCATCTACAGCATCCCCTTCAGGAGCATAGTCATGTGGATGTCGCCATGTGACCCACTGAAAGCTGTCTGGAAATATTCCCTACTTCAAGTTTTCCTAGCCAGTCAATTCTGGAAGGGCTTAGAAGCTGACTCACCTCCTCAGTCTTCTGCTTCTTACGTGTGGGCCCCTGTTTTTAAGGGTCTATGGCCTGTCAGCTGTACACATATACCCATAAGGTTCTTGTGGGCTGGGTGAGCCTGTCACTGATAAAATTCTATTCCATGGCAAATAAATTGTTCTCCAAGATACCCTGGGGTTTTCCTTTTGGCCACCTCTTGGGGCTGTGAAAGCGAACCCTGAGAATGACCAGGTGGGAACTAGACTGCCTGCTTCTGCTTCCATCCAGGTGGCAGAAGTGCCACTCTTGTCAGGATCTGCTGGTGTACCAGAAAGGGCAGCAGAGCTGCTCTTCAGATCAGCTGTCCTAAGAATGGGAATGGCTCATTTTAAAGGTTGAATTTGAAATGAAATGCATAGAAAATACTGTTTTCTTTTGCCATAAAAGTCTGCTTAAGATTATTGTCCATATTTATTGACAAAATGGCCCTCCTTGGACTTCTTTTGTTTTCTTTTTGCCAAAATGGATCAGAGAAAAAGTATTTGGTTTTCATTCTCTGCTTCCCTTGGAAGATGCAAACATCAGACCAAGAACCCCATTCTGAAAGATACGATTAATTTAATCTAAGCCTAAAGATTCAGAATACTGTCCAGGTTGAAATTTTGGATTCTGGAGACATTACAAAATATAAATACCAGCATCTTCATCAAATATTTATCAGGAGCCTGGTTACGGGCAGTGGGTACCTTAGCACTCCTAAACTGTTGTGGCGTCCAGTGAGAAAAGAGGAGTGCTAGCAAATCAAACAGCCTAGAAACAACCAGGAGCCACGGAGAGAACCATTAGTTACCAAGCAAAGGCAAAAAGCAGCAACTAGCACCTTTCAGTAGTATTCAAATGACCTACTAATTTTAAGTAGTCAACTAAAGCAGAATTGCTATTCAATAAATGTATTAGTAAGACACTCAGATGTTGAGAGCTTTGCTTAGTGGTGAAGAATTAAGATGGTAATTCTGGTGGCTTGAATGGTCCTGATGGTTTGGTTGTAAAACCCAACTGCTGAATGTCTGCATATGAGCCCAACAGGCTCAGATCCCACATGCCTTGAGAAGTTTTAGAGACTTCAGTCATCAGAAAATGAGTTAATTTCTGCTGTTGATGAAGTATTGGCCCAAGATAAACTGTAAGCGTGTGGCAATCACATTTTGCTGAAATTGGGTGGATTAGTTATTTGTCTATCAGGCCTTGTGTTCCCGTCTTAAGAAGTCATGGAGAACATAAGATTCACTTACCTAGGATTTGAATGGAAGAAGTTCCTAGTAGATCCAGTTCCTGCTCAGACTGATGAGGATTCCATCCTATCACAGCTGGTCCTACTTGATAACAACACTCATCTTAGGGTATGCTTCCCAAGAGTATCATTTCAGACACTTCTAAGAAGAAAGTCAGCTCAAAATGTGTAATGACAAAAGAATGTCCTTTATCAGCATCTTTCCTAGCAAAGCAGGGCCAGCAGAGGAAGCAGATGCACCTTCCCAGGCAAGAAGAGACAGCAGTGGTAGAAGGTGATTGCCTGAGATCAGCAGCAGTCCAGGCAGTGTAAAATTGGGGTCCACACAAATTGGCACACAGGCCACTTAGTAGGCTTGAGGTACATAAGCAATGCAAGGATTGCTCATCTGTGAGGGTCAAAGAGAACGTAATGTAAGAAGCCATAAGTCCATAGCCATGTGTTTTACTGAATGAACCTCAATGCTTTGTATTAACTTAATGCCATTGTACTTTCTGGCTTATACTTCTGCAAAGTAAAGCACTTTTTCACAGGACTGTATTGGCAGCCACATGGTTGCAGCTGTTTTTGAATTCTGCAGATGTTTCCAAAGATATAATCAAAGTGTGTTTTTCTATTCATTAAGAAACATAAATATTAACTATCTATAGAGACATTTAAGTGTAATTAAAACAGATTGTTATGCTTTAAAAATGTACTCTAATAAATGATATAAAATATGCTTATGATGGAACTATGGGTTAGAGGAGGAGGACATACGGTCATCAAAATCAATCAGAAAAGTAAATTATATGGTGTTAGACTCATTCTAGTTTGTTCTCTTTGATGTTATTTTTTGTTACTTCAAGGTCTGATCTCACAAATCTACTTCCATAAATTTTCTTTTGTTTTGCTTTTGCTATTAATCTGTGATATGGTCTCACTCTGGGGCCCAGTGAGGCCTGAAACTATGTAGCCCAGGACAGTCTTGTAGAACTTGCAGCAGTCCTCCTGCTTCAGCTCCTCAAGCGTTACAGGTACAGGCATGAGCCACCATGCACGGCTTCCATAAGCCTTTGTCTTTATTATATTGTCTCTTAATAATCATCAAGTGCTTGTGTGACTTCACCCTCTTATCACACAATCATTTCACTAACATACTCAAGATAAGTTGATGTCCTGTACCCAGGGTAAGTTGTAATGGAAAAAGGAAATCTTTTTTGCTCTCAGAATGCTATAGCTTACAGTCATGTGGGTCCACTGCAGAAGTGCACACTCAGGTTCCCTATTACTTGAATCAATCAAGGAAGACTTTTTGTTTCTTGTGTGTGGTGTGTACATGTGTTCTAGTTTGTTTCTCCATTGCTGTGACAATGGATAGGAAAGGGTTATTCAGCTTACATCTCCCAGATCACAGTTCATCAAGGAGCCCAAGGTAGGAACTCAAGACAGGAACCTGGAGGCAGGAGCTGGAGCACAGGCCATGGATGACCACTGCTTATTGGCTTCCTCCCTTGGCCCCTGCTCAGTCTGCTTTCTTATACAATACAGAACAACCTGCCCAGTGGGCTGTACCCTCCCACATCACTCAATAATCAAGAAGATGCCCCACAGACATGGCCACAGGCCAGTCCAATAGAGGTAATTTCCCAATTGAGGCTCCTTCAACTTAGATGTGTCAAGTTGACACCAAAACTATCCAGCACAATTGACTCCTTGTCAACTTGACACAAACACATCACTATTAAACTACAACCTTTCCATTTCTTGTCCCCAAGATATGACATTAACATTAATATCACAAGACAGTACCACCTTAAAAGCCCCACAGCCCTTAAAAACTCCAAACACTTAAAAATTCACAGTCTCTTTTTAAACTCTCTTAACTGTGGACTCCTGTAAAATCCAAAACAAGTACTGTCTTATTTCAAAGGCACACTTAAGCAAAATCTAAGTCCAGCAAAGTAGCTCAAGGCTGGATATCTGGGATTTACATTCACTTATGAGCTTCTGGGCTTCAAAGGGTTTTGGCAGCTCCACTTCTCTGATACTGGTGTCCACAGTAGACACAGCTCATCTCACAGACCCAGGCCGGCTCCATTCCACACCTGTTTGGTGGCCATCCTATGGTCCTAGCACCTCCAAAAAGCTTAAGTCTCCACTGCAACTGAGGCTGCACCCTCACCAATGACCTCTTTTGGCCTCTCAGGGTGCAGTGCCTCTGATTCTCTCCATGATCCCTTCAATCTTGGGGTCTTCACTGCAACTGAGGCTGTACTTTCACCAATGGTTTTTCCTGACCTCTCATGGTGCCAAGCCTCAGCTGCTTTCTGTGACTCCTTCACACTTTCAACACGAGAACCATGCAGGAGACTCTTAAACATTACCAAGTCCCTCTTCCAGCTTCAGATGGAGCCTCAGCCCCCTCTGAACCATAGCTTTTGTGCTGACCCTGAGGAACTACTTCCCAGAAGATTTCACCACAGTGATGCTAGTGTCTTGTTAACTTACAGCTGATTTTTCAGCCCCAGCTAATAGCAAGGTTTTACTTCAGGTTCTGGTCTCTTCTTAATCACAGCTGATTCTTCAGCCCCAGTTGATCAGAACCCACAGATTCACAAACAGCTCTGATAGTCTCTGCTTCCCTTTGAAGCCTCACAAGCCAGGCCTCCATTGTCTACAACTCTTTCAGCATAACTGTTCCAAGCTCCACAGCAACAAACTCTGAGCACTCAATGGCTTTTCCAGTCCAAAGTTCCAAACGCTTCCACAATCCTCCGTCAGGTCTGTCACAGCAGTGCCCCATTCTCTGGTACCAATTTCTGTCCTGGTTTGTTTCTCCAGTGCTATGACAAAACACTCTAACAACTACCAAGTTGGGGAGGAAAGGGTTATTTGTCTTACATCTGTGAGGTCACAGTTCATCAGGGAGCCCAAGGTAGGAACTCTGGGCAGGAACCTGGAGGCAGGAGCTGGAGCACAGGCCATGCTTACTGGTTTTCTCCCCTGGCTCCTGCTCAACCTGCTTTCTTACACAACACAGGCCCACCTGCCCGGGGTTGGCACCACGACAGTGGGCTGGGCCTTCCCACATCACTCAATAATCAAGAAAATGCCCCACAGACATGGCCACAAGGCAGTCCAATGGAGGAAATTCTCCAATTGAGGTTCCTTCATCCCAGGTGTGTCAAGTTGACACTAAAGCTATCCAGCACATGCAAGCATGTTTGCAGGTGTGGGCACGTGGGGGTACACATACACGTGTGTGGATGTTCATACATGTGTGTGGAGGCCACAGGTCGATGTCAGGTGTCTTCCTCAATCACTCTCCACTTTATTTACTAACACAGGATCTCTCGTTGAACCCAGAGCTTGTGGATTTGGCTAGTTTAACTAACCAGCTTGGCCAGTGGATCTCCCATCTCCACCTTCCAAGTGCTGTGATTAGATATGCCTGCCATGCCTGCCCAGCTTTTATGTGGGTGCTGAGAAACTGAATTCATGCTTGCATAGCAAGTACTCTGTCCCATGTACCAAATCCCCAGCCCTGGGGAGGATATTTTGAGTGGTCATGTCAACAGTGTTACAAGGGATAGAGCACACATTTGTTATTCTGGGATATATTATCACCAAAAGATGGGATTCGGGGTGTGGTAGGAATGGTCATACAATCTAGCCTCCTCACTGAATATTGTCACTTCCTGGACTTTGATAAAACTTCCATGAGCACATTTCTTTCTCTCCTGCCACAAAGACTTTTAGAGAGGGTCACAGGATGTTCTGTTTCTCATTTCTTTCTACACCACTGCTTCTTCCTGTTTCATACAAAATACCCTCGGTGCCAACATTCAGTCTCCTAGCCACTTTAACTTTTACCATTCTTTATGATGATTCCTCCACTGCGCCAGGTTCCCCAGTCTTTGATATCATTCTGCCACATATCCTACCAGTATCCTGAAGGACTTTAGTGTCCTCAAGGGAAAACTACCCACACCCTTGTTATGTTTGTGGATTTTTTTTTTTTTTGGTTGTTCTGTTTTTGGAGATTACTGGGGCCTTATTTATGTCAGGCAAGCTATCTTAAATTCCCATCTTCCTTTTCAGAACCTGTTCTTGCTAACTTTATATTCCCTTTGTGCAAGATCAGCAATGACTGGCTCACCTCTGCTTCAATGAACAGCTTATCAGGCTTCAAACTTCCTTAGTCTAGATGCAGAATCCTGCTTATTCTTTCCAGGTTATTACATTTCTCAAACAGCAGTTCTTCATTCACACCTGTTTGGCAAACCTCCTTTGAGGACCAGGACTCTTACCACCCATCTCTGCTCTTTACTGTGTCTATTGCTTAAAGTCGTAATATCATGAGGGCCTTTAGATATTTATGGTCCATTACCCGAGTAGTGGCCTCATTTCCAAACCAAAAGTTATTTCTCTATTCTTTTTTCTTTCTATTCTTAACCCTTTTCTAAATGGCCCATTCCTCCCAATAGATAATGCTTCTTGCTTTACAATTTTTTTCTTTTTGGTACAGACTCTGACTATGCAGCTTGGTTTACAAAGTTGACCTCAAAGTTGCAGTAATCCTCCTGCAACTTTGTGCTAAGTGCTAAGACAAAGTGCTGGGATTATGGGTGTGCACCATGCCATCTGGCTCACATTTGCAAGCTTATGACTTCAGACACTTCTTTAACCCTTACTGCCACTTCCACCTACCTAGATGTGTGCACCTAGCCTCCTTCTAGTTCAGAGGAAATGTCCTTCTTGCCAAGGCGCCTCTTCAGCTCTCTCACTCGTTATTTCCTACTATACGCTCAAGCTTTCCTTCTTTGGTCTCTCTCCTTCTGCATATAAAAACATGGAAGTCTCTCAGGTCTTTTCAACTCTGCCTACCTTTACTACCTTGTGTCCAGGTTCTTGGAAGACTCACCAGTGTTCTTGCTCACTCTAGTCTTCTGGACCAAGTGCAAACTCTATCCTCACTGCTCCACTGATAATGAACCAACTACAGCAGTCACTTGCTTCATTACTTCTATTATTCCTTCCTTAAGGCTCTTCCACATTCACCTTCTTTACCATCCGTCAGTCTTACTTCAAAAGTCTTCCTCTTCCTCTGCCCTTAAATGTTAAGATTTACTTTTAATTATGTGTCTGTGTGTGTGGATATGTACATGTGAGTGCTGGTATCTGAGGCGGCCAGAGGCGTTGGGTACTCCTGGAGCTGAAGGTATAGTTTCAAGCCACCTGTGTCAAGTGTGTTGGGATTCAAACTAGTCTTCTGAAACAGCAGCAAGAGCTCTAAAGAGCTGTGCCATCTCTCCAGCCCCCGTCCCCTTACATGCTTTTATGACCAGACTTCTGTTCCTCCACTTTCCACTCATCTTTCTACAGTCTCACTCAGCTCCATAGCTCCCTCCGCACACGCTAGTGATCCATCTTCACTCCTGTATTCCTACATTGACTCTTAAAAATGGTTGGTTAACTGGTTTCAATGGCATTCCTATTCAAATCCATTGTACATACTGCGGCCAGGTATCTAAGGACAGTGATTTTCAAACCCTAGCAGTCCTCAAAATTACCTGGAGGGCTGAAGACGTCCTGGGCTCCTTCCAGCTTCTTACTGTTGGGTAGAGCTTAAATTTTTCCACTTCTAGCTTTTAATCCCAGCACTCGGGGAGCAGAAGCAGGCAGATCTCTCTGAATTTGAGGCCAGCCTGGTGTACATAGTGAGTTCCAAACTAGCTATGGCTACATAGTGAGATCCCACCTCAAAAAAAATTATAAAATAAAATCTCCTTCTTTCAAGTTCCCAGTTAGGTGATACTGAAGCAGTACTGATCTCGTCTGTCAAAAGTTTCCCACACTTCTGCCTGCATAAGAATTATTTGGAGTAGGGGTAAGAGATGTGGCTTAGTAGTAGAGCATTTTCATGTGCAAGGCCCTGGGTCCAATTTCCAGCACCACAAAACAAAACCTAAAAGCAAGACTAGGTCAAGGAGTGTGATGGACACTGATAATCCCAGGTGGAGGCAGGAAGATCAGTTCAAAGCCAGCCTGGACTAGAGTTTTTTAAAAAATGGAAAGGGAAAAAAAAAAGAGTATAGGATGTATTAGG